TGCCATAGCTGTAGTTAGTAGTGAGTGTGTGTGTGTGTTCGAGTGTTAGGGCCTGATGCGTGTGGGGTATCCAGGGTGATCCAGTGTATGTGAACAGTGAGATGTTGGGGCGCTGAAGTCGCCATAGCCAATTGAGAGTGAACTCGTATCTGAAAGCCATATCTCTGAGTTTTGAGTGGGCGCATGTCGCCAGTATGCTGCGTGCTGTTTACATACATGAAAAGTGTGTTTGAAAACGAGTCTGATTGCAAATGTGTTTGTGAATAGAAAACACACTCACAAATATACAAACACACAGGAGGAAAAATGGATCAGGAGTATACCTCCCCATTTACTCTGCCTCCTTTCCTAGTGTGCAAGTGGGCTGTTATCGCACACGGGGAAATCAACATCGCAAGCATTGTAGATGAGAGGCACTGTAAAAGGGGAGCTGGAAGAACAAACAGAAGGGGTACTCCAAAGAAAGCCAAAGTAAAGATAGTCAAGAAAGGGATATAAGTTCATAGAACGGATCTATTGTGCTTCATGTTGCTTTCTATAGGGGTGAAACTGTTTCACTGCTGGATTGGCTCACCTCAAGTGTGCTTCATAGTCTGTAATGGAGGTAGAGGATCTACTCATCTGGGTGGAGCAGGGGCTTTTGTGGTGATAATCTACAACACACACACACACTTAACTGACGGTCTCCTAGGACTGCAGGGTTGGTGTGAGTAAAGTGGGGACCACTTTTCTCTCTCAAGGATGGGTATCGCTAATTCTGGGTGATGTGGTGAGTTCTTATCCATCAGTCGAATGCATCGCGTTCAACCTCCTGATGAGTTGGTGAAAGTCAAATGAAACAGCCTGGCACAGTCGTGCTTTTTTTTTTTGTGGAGTTGTGTATAGCGAACACAACGACACACGTTTACACTGCTTGTTTGTTTGTTTGTCGCTGTGTCTCCTCCCTCCGAGTTCTCTTCACTGTCTAAGTGCAGCACCTCTAAGCACCGGCGAACGGACCGGTGGATGGACTGACGGACTGATGGACCGAAGGATGGTCCGATGGTGGATGGACAGACCTAACGACGGACCACGGACGGACAGATGGACAAACGGACTGGAAACGGATGGACCAGCAGACGACGTGCGAACCGACGCACATATCGGCCGACCAACGGTCTGACAAACTGATGGACTGATAGCTTGCCAATGGACTGACTACAGATTACTGAACCGACGAACTGACAGTTGATTGACGATCGACAGACTGATGGACCGACCGACAGACTAACCAATGGACTGACCGACGAACCGACAGCAGACCGACCGACGGACAACCCGACGGAACGACCAACAGATCGCCTGATCGACAGACCGATTGACGGAGCAGCCGATGGACGGACCGACAGATCGACTGGCGAACGAACCAACGGATTGACAGAGTAATGAATGGATGGACAGATGGACCAACCGATGGACTTCTGGATGGACGGTTGGTCGGACGGACGGACCGATGGATGAACGGACCAACAGACCGATGGGCGGAAAGGCCAACCAGCCGAAAGACTGACCGGCTGACTGACCGACCAACCGAAAGACCTGCTAACCGACCAACCAATAGACAGGCAGACGGAAAGACATTTGTGTCTCTATGTGTACTTTTTTTTTTTTTTTCCTTTCCTTTTTTTTTTTTTTTTTTNTTTTTTTTTTTTATTTGGACCATTTCTCAATTTATGCGTGCCATCCTTGAAAGTGCAGGGGCCATGCTAATTTTCTCTGTATCGTTCCAATTTTAACGGATGTCCCGAAGGACTCTATGTGTACATTTTTTACTGTGTATATAAACTTTTTGTTTATGGATGTTCATAATAAGAAGAAGTTGTTCTCTTTCATAAAGCGTGACAATATGATTTGACAGTATGCAAACACTCCTTCATTGAGTGCATTCACAGGTTTGTTTTACCATTCATCACCGCAAGTTACTGCCAATAACACAATGTGTGTGTTTTTTTGGTGGGATTTGCAGGTATGATAAGGAGCTATCAGATTTTCTACTTGCTCTCCAGACCGGTTTCCCCTTCATTCTTCGCGTGGTGGTGGCTGTGGGTCCTGTGTTTGTTGGTAAGCATGAAAAAAACCTTGCAAATGGTTTTGAACTTTGAAGTTGGAATTGGTTTCTGACACTTTCTGTTGCTCATTACATTCCTGGCTCTTGGCGTTGCCCCATCAGCTCCCCAACTCCTTTCCTCTCTTTGACTGCCAATGCATGTTCTGGTGAGTGGGGTCGCCAACGAAGTTACAAAGTTGTGAAACAACTCTCCGCCCATAACCGTAATGAAGCCAACCAAGGCCCCTGAATAAGGATGATGTGCCAAGATCAAGAAACATTATAGATAGAAAAAAGAGGAGGGGGCGCACAGTTGGGCGTTGGAGGAGGGAATCTCGCTGACATGACCGTATCCAACAGGATTTCAAGTTCTTCAACTCTCCATTGATTTATCAACAACAATTACATGTGTGTACCACTGGGTACCATTCAACCTGCAGTCAAGTAGGAAATTAAGAAATTACTGAATTAGTCTTCTCTGACTCTTCTGATCATTTATCCATTTGGTCATTTTCTTCTTACCTCTTTTGAAAAGAGAAGAAGACAGTGTCAGCATGACTGTCAGCTGCTCTTACAGTGCCACCACTTACGACCCTTCTTGTCTGTGCTGTCACATGATGCTAAATCCCAATGGTTACTGAATGTGGCCAGGTAAGGCCAGAAATGCTGGCTATTTGTCGAGTATGCAAATCCCCTGTTCTCAGGGCAATCAATGCTGGCAGAAGACGAGGAAAGCTTCAGAAGGAACCACCAATGGATTTTGCTAAGGGACGCTGGACCCCTTTTCCAGCAGGTGTTGCTCCCCACCAATAGACGGAGCCTCCCCGGGGGAGATAGAGGCGTCTGCTCATACCAGCGCCCCTAGCTCCCAAGCGGGCAGTTTTAAAAAAAAAAAAAAAAAAAAAAAAAAAAAAAAAGCTCTCTGCTATTGCAGCAGATTGAACGGTGATGTGGCGAGTCTCGGGCCTGTAGAACCAGGCACGGACTCTTTTGTCTGGAAGACAGATTTACTTTCACTTTCTTTTCTGCAGCACTACCCTGATCTAATTTCTTTTTCTCACTCTTCTTTCTTCTTTTCTTCATCCCCCCTCTCCCCCCCCTGTCGTCTGCTATACTTGCAGATTGAACGCGAGCATCGGGCCTGTAGAACCAGGCGCTGCCTCTTTTGTTCTGGAAGACATATTTACTTTCACTTTCTGCATCACTACCCTTATCTAATTTATTTCTCGCTCTTCTTCTTTTCTTCGTTCCTGCCCCGCCCGCCCCCACTGCCGCCCCCCTCTTGTCTTTATTGTCAAACCTCCGGCTTCCTTCCCAGCAGTTGTGCTCTGATTTGGCTGTCTTTATTGTCAAACCTCCTGCTTCCTTCCCAGCAGTTGTGCTTTGATTTGGCTGGTTGCATGGCAAAATTGGCTCACCTCACTTAGACTTTTTTGGTTTACAATTCCTAAAGAAAGGAGGCGACCATAGGCGCCGCCAGGCAGCGGCCCTTCGGCCTTAGCCCCCTACTATCAAATATATACCTTCTTTCTATGATAGATGCTTTTCTTGACCTTAGGTACTGTCGAACTTCGAATGTAACTTTGGTATTGTAGTGTGCATCATGCTGTCTGCTATGTTCTTGGTTTGTGCGCTCTTTTAGTTGATACTACTTGATACTACTTGATACTACTTGATACAACTTGATACTACTTGATATTACTTGATACTACTTGATAGATATAATGACAATATCTATTGTCAATTTGTCACATACTATCAAGTTAGTATCAACTGAAAGAGCGCACTTTGCGAAACTATAGAAGAAATAGCAGATAGGATGAAGCTCACTGGAAACGTTTTTTTTTGCCTTTTCTTGCACTGTCAGGTGACAGTTCTGTCTTTCTGTGCGGTTTGTTCTTTTCGTCTTGGGGGAACTCCAGTAGAGTCACAAAAAGTGGAAAAAACTAGTTATAATTGCAGTATCGGGCAAGATACAGTTGTCAATTGCATTTCCGGCACCCTACCTGGCCAGAAAGCTGGGTTGTATACATTGCCCGAACTGCAATTCGAAGCTGTCGCTCGGCCCATACTGCAGTTATAACTCGTTTTTTGTGACTCTCCCGCGTAGTTTTTTCCCCCTTTGTTCTTCCTCTTTTTTTGCCTTGCCATCGCCATAAGTGCTGACTGCTGTAGATGTGAGGAGATGGAGGAGAGAAGTGGTGGGTTGTTCTCGTCTTGGGACATACTTATAACGGGACTCCCATCTGACTGCAAATGTGGCCATATCCAGTTCAGGAGGTCCTGGTGTGAATATGGCCTTTTTGCCGTTTGTTCGAAATTGACGTTATTAAACGTTATTTGTCACTGCTGTATGCATTTCTGAGCGTGACGATTGATTGACATTGCTCTGCAGGTTATGCATTGTTTGCATGGACGTTCTTTGGAGTATTCATTTCAACATTCCGATCATTTGGGGATTCTATCATCACTCTGTTCTGGTACATTTCATAATCACCCAAATTTCCTCCCCTGGTCGGACCTCCTGTCCTGGTACATTACATTTCACAACCTCCTCGATCCCTATGCCATGTGTGTTCATTGCTGAAATGCAGTTGCAACAAGCAAAGTTTTTCATACAGCACAACCATCCACTCCACCAGGTCCTTCTGCTGCGCTCGTCAATGGATCACCGAAGGGCATCAACGCACTCGAAGAACAGCACACACATACGCTCAATTCACACACAATCTGTACGAACACAGCCCCAAGCAGCAGAGATTTTTTTTTTTTTTTTTAATTTAAAATAAGCGGTAGCCGAGCAATGTCAATAGCAAGGCTAGAATGTTGAACCCATGGTCTGGTCAAGTAGAATCCTGGGGCGAGTTCCCACTATCAAAGAGGATTGGATTGAACGCCTGAATCTGGCCCAGTTTGTGGACAAGTGCAAAAAATCGAGATTGAACTCCTTTTCTGCATCTCTGACTAAAAAACGCCCAGATTCAGGATCTTAATCCAATCCCCGTTGCTAGTGGGACCATTCTCTTGGGGATTCCTGGCAAGTCTGGGATCCCCCTCCACAGCTGGAGTCATCATGATGTGTGCATAGGGCGAGCGTGCAGATGCGCTGGGGCTGCCATCAACTCATATAGTTTAACATACTCAAACACGAATATCCAGTCCAGTGTGAAAATGCCACCACCGGTGACCGTTTTTTTTGTTTGATATCATGTTTATTTATTTCATCAAATTCATAATTATTATAATATTATTTTATAACATTATGTCTTTTCTTTCTAGGCTAGCACCCAGGCCGCCCGGGTGACCTGGTTTGCCCGGGCTGCCCGGTCATGCAAGGACCATAGAAGGTCCCAGCCCCCCAAAAAAAACAAAAAGAACCCCAAAAATTGAAAATTCCGAAAAAAAATATAATGTTATGCAGATTCGCAGAATAATAAACTGAACAACGTTTGCCTTAGGGTCACATCGAAATTATTTACCAAATTAAAAATTAAATTTAAAATTAAAAAACTTCTTTTAAGTTCTTTATAGTTTTTTTTCTTTTTTTTTTTGTTGTGAGCCAGGCCGGGCAAGTGGTCCCGGGCCACTCTGGCAGCCTAGCTTTCTTTTTAATTTTTCCTTCAATAAAGAAGAGCTATATTCTACTCTGGGGAGCAACAGTCCCGTTCCTGTTCCGCGCGAAAGTCAGAAAGACATGAAACCCACGCCACGATTCCCCCTGCTACGGCCAGGGGAAACCACCTACTCCACAGCACTTATCCCTTCCCACAGGAAATGCCACCAACCAACCTTAGAGCAACCCCAAGTTAGAGACCTTCCAATGCTTTCCTTGCTTCCAACTGGGCCCAGAAAGCCACAAGTACCATCTTTTCCCACAGTGAGTGTGCGTGCCTTCTCTGGGAATGACTTTCCACATGGAATGCAGACAGCGTAGCAGAGAGGTAATACGCAAGACAAAACAGAAGTTTCGGTGGTCAATCCGTTTTCCCCAAATCTGAATTCGACAACTTTCTTGCTGTGTGGAGAATCGATCAGCGAGGTATCGATCATCTGCGAGCTATCTCAAATGATTACCTGAAAAACAGCAGAATGAATCTGCGATTCTGCGAGTTATTATTGACTTTCTGGCAGTTTCTGCCATCCTTGTGTCACTGTTATTTCCGTGGTCTCTGTTTCCGCAGCATCGTGAATGGGGATGATATACACAGTACATTCAGGCAGTACGTGCAAGGGTCGATGATTGTTGGTCGCATTTTTTTGATCTCTTTCGCCTTCTGCTTCATTTACTGTGTGCTGAACGTCTTTATCTACATCATGGAGGAGGCGGTGCAGACGTCGAAGAGCATGCGACCCAATTCACGCTCGTCAATGTATGTTCACCAAAAAATTTTCACTCTGGCCTTCCATCCATTGTTTTTTTCCTTCCTTTTATTTCCATTTTATAAATTTATACTTGTTGTTGTTTGCCTTCTTTTTCCTGTCATAAAAGCTTCCCCTCTCTTTCTTTCTTTCGCTCGGACAGGGTTAGCTCTCCCCAGATCACTGTATCGATTCAGTCGAGAAAGGATTTGAACTCTCAACCTCTTCATTAACTGTTTCGACTCTCGAGTCTTTCAACTGCATACACTGTTCATCCAACCTGCACAGCTACACTTGCTGGGAACTTTTCACTATCTGAGAGAATCTGTGCGCCATCTTTTTTTTGTCGTTGGCTTGCCGCTCAAACACCCCTCCCTTACCTTCTCTATCTCCCTCTCCTCTCCCCCCCTCCTGCCCCTCTCAGCGCCCATAACCCATAGGTGCAAGTTTCTGCTACAGCTAGCATGTCAAGGAGACCACCAGGAGTGTGATATCACGACCGGTATGGATCCAGTTTTTATAACACCTCGCAAGGGTTGTAGTAGTTACGACTCTTACGAGACTTGGTCCCTGTGGCTGCGGGTTGCCGGTTCCGGGCCGTCCGCGCACGCCGGGGCCTGATGCCCTAAAGCACGTTGTTCAGTGACTGACTAGCTACCAGGAGTGTGAGACAGGCTCCACTTGAAAATGTCTACACCTTTGTGTGGAATCTGTGGATATTTGATTCCAAAACATATCCAGACATCATCCTGTGATCCTGACCCCAAGTGTAACACCCCAGTGAGGTGTAATAGTCTGATAGATAAAGAATAAACCAGCTCTGCATGTGGACTAGTTTGCGGACTAAGGTATAGTTTCTTGTGATTGGGGAACTGCTGTACCTAGTGGGCTCTGCATCTGGACTAGTTTTTCTTATGCTTGTGGAACAGTTGTGGTCCAGTGGGCTCTGCTGCGTCTGGACTCTGGACTAGTTTCTTCTCCGGAGAACAACGTCCGGTCGTTATAGCTGTATTTGAGGCATCTTTCAGTCTAGACTCTAGATACAGCTATAATGACCGTACGTTGTATTCAGGGGAAGAAGGTAGTTAGTTTCTTGAACTTTCTTCTGATTGTGCAACAGCTGTAGTCTGCTGGGCCGCCGAAGCTGATTGTGTTCTGCAAAAAAAAGCATTGCAGCCTGAGCAGCAGAAGTGGCATAGCATCTTGCTATGGTTTGTCAAACGCTTGATTGCTCATTCTCAACGAGCACGACGATGACTGTTCGTCTTGCTTGGCAAACGTAAAATGCAGCTTCAGCACGCGAAGTCGCATTCTTACGGATGACATTATTTCGGAGATGGTTCAGCCATTCGACGAGGAGTTTCTCTCGGAGACGAACGATACCGATAGGTCACCAACAAGTCCAGGTGAGAGGTGCATGGAGAGGACTGGGGGTAGAAGAGGAGGACAAGGAGAATGTAGCGACTCTAATGTTCTCCATCGTCGGGGATCATCCGGGTACTTCAGGTACGACAAAGCCAGGTCTTATGCAAGAATGTCAAGTCGAACCTATTCGGATGCTCACTCCGATGGACTTCACAAGGATCCACCTGAACCTGAAGAAGCCCAGAGTTCCCCAATGCCACAGAGGCGAGCTGGGGAAGAAGCGCTTGTCTCCTCCTCCAGCAATTGTATGCATGAATTGAGGATAGAAGAAAGTGGCGACGGTGGAAGAAACATCGATGAGGGCTCAGCAACGAAGGTCGCTGATGTTGGAGCGGGGAAGGTGTGCGAAGCTAAGCAAGATCCTGGCGATATTTTATCGCCGCAGTTCTCATATCGACAGTCTATGAATTCGTCATCGGATGTGCGTGAATATTGGCAACATGGCAGAGTAATGAGGCAGACTTCTCAGAATGGAGCTGCAGAGGAAATGTCCCAACGAGGTAATTTGTTTTCTTTGTCTTGGCAGCCAAAACCAAGGCTGAGTGAGAGGAATGGGCCAAGCCGGTTTTCACTGTGTTTTTTGAAAAAGGGTAGACACTTGAAAGGGAAAAAAGGACTGAAGCTATGAATGGGCATACCCAGGAGTCAATCCTCCGCTCCCCTAAAGGGAGTAGTAAATGCTGTTGGGGGTCCGCAATGAGAGGGAGTGTGCAGTAGGTAATAGGTATGCAATACTATGCTTGTATTTCCCGACTTGCCGGTGCAATAGGAACCGGATGGAGCCTGGACCATGAGGCCCATGATGAGGGTGAAAAAAATAAAATGTTATGTTCTCGCCAATCCAAACTGATGCGTGCGCTGCACGAGTCGTCAATTCAACACCCAAAGTCCCGCACACAAGATGCAAATCCACACGATGTGAGACTGCAGTGGAGATTGTTTGAAATGTCAAAAGTTTTGTAGGCTTAGAGTGTCATGTAGTGACATGGCGGCAATGGCCGCCAGCCTGCCACAAACCAACACAAGGGAACTCTCTTTCTTGCTCTCATGTCCTCTCTTCCCTCGTACCTTTCTTTACCTCGCTGAATGTCTTTTCTCGCCCACTTCCTCTCTCTTGCTCTCCTTCTCCTTCTTTCTCAAGCTCTGGCGTCAGGCGTCGTTGACTACCCTACTGTGACCGCTCTCAGCCTCATTCGATGTATAGTCAACGGAGATCCATATACCTCCGTCAACTGCTGCCACTATTCCCCTGTAAATCTAGCATCTGTATCACTAACATCGGCCAAAGGATGCCGATTATCGTTGACCCAATGTGCAAAGAACTCCGGAATTAGTAATTACCATATTTGACTTTCCTTTGGCTGGTAATGAAACGGGGGAAAAGTTGTGTCGCGCCCCTGAAAGTTGAATTTCTTTGCATCGCACGGCTCCGACAGCTGACGACTTACCCTGTCGCGCCCCTCTAACAACAAGTCAAGTTTGCGATAAACCCCTGGTGGTTGGGCCCAAAATATGTTTGTTATGCCCCCACAGGTACTGTTTCTAACTTTTAGTATGCCCCTACCGGAACAGGGAGAGGCGGATTTCGCCGGCAGCGATTTTTGTGGGACTGGCGGTCCAGAAAGGGCGTCCCGAAAAGTTGCACCGCCTGCTGACAGGGGCCTGGAGAAAGGTTTAGCGGGCCATCAGAGGGGCGCGACGCAAATAAATTCAACTTTTTTGAGGAGGCGCGACACAAATTTTTAATTTTTCCATTATTTAATTATTATGTATATTTGCGGCATCTACTATAACCATCACTTGACTGTTCCCACTTCGACTTTTCGCGTTTGTAACTTCGTATCCATGAAGTCAGCGGACACTGACTGACTCTGCGGGTCTTGAGGGAGTAGGAGGCAATGGTTTCGGCAAGTCTTGTTTCTCTGACATACACCCTTGGGTGTACCTAATGCGATCAGATTACCAGTCATCATCGCCAATTGACTTGCATCAGCCGTTACTGCGAACAGTAGGGAAGGGTCTGTCTGCTATATTCAGGACGGGATACTCTATCAAAAAATGCCTGCTTCAATTTACAAAATGTGGAGGTACAGCCCTTGTTTAGTCGCCACATTGTTTCTTTCTTCATCAGTTTCATAAGGGTGTTCTGATCGTGCGAAATTACGCACGAACTGAGGCTATTGTGCGTACAATGCCATTAATGTGTCTCCTCGCGTACAATTACAACCCCTGTACTGTTTCTGATTTTGGGGACATTGTCCACGGGATAGAAGCGGAGCACCGTCCTGTTTGCCTGGAGGATGACAGCATTACGCCTGGTGTGAACATGAAGTATTGTCAATGGCATTTACAGGAAGAGCACCGCAAAACCAGCCCACTCTGCAGAACTATGTACCTGACGTGGATCCAAATATTTGTGCGTACATCCTGCATTGCCCAGGTCATTTTAGTGCTTTTACCTTCTCACCGAAGTTTTTGGAAAACCCATGGACCTTGTGGGATAATAATGGCGACAGAGTGCACTCGGTGGGTGATATTACCTCTTACTATCACCTACTGGCAAAGTCCCAATCGGTCTGGCAGTCGACCAGGAACAGTGTTTAGATGCTCGAATCTGGCCAACCCTCCCTCCTTCCTCCCTCCACCCCCCCCCCCCCCCGCGCCCCCTCTACCTGGCCAGGCTGCATCTCTTGCCTTTGCAGATCAGACAGATTCGACCACTGATGGTGAGGGGCCCCCTTCAGAGGATGGTGGCTCTGCATGTAGCATCCAATGGGCTCCTACACGGGCCGTTTTTAGGCCCGTCCTTTCTTCTACTCTCCGCCCCCAGGCCACACAGCCTTCTTTATCTTACTAGTAAAAACAGGATACTTCTGATCCTGGCTCCTTTTCCATTCCGGGGAGCGTCAGTCCGTTTTCTATTCCCCTGGCAAGTCATGAAATTACACTCACTGAACATTCACTGAAGAGTCTGAACTCACTCACGCGTCCTTCCATCGGCCGAAGGATCCCTAGAGTCCTAGACAGCATTCATTATTTATTACTCTATTAAAAGTCTATTTCCCTTATAGAGGATCGACTGCCAGCTTGCCTTTCTCAAATTCTCATTAGATTCCTCGCAGACTCGGTAACTGAGCGTGTAAGCTACTAGACACGAGCACCTCCCCTCGAATCTATGAAAGGTTTGAAAGATCGTCTCTTCCCCCCTTCTCTTCTTTGCCCGGGCCTCAATCATTTGTAATGTTGTGCCCTTCTTACCGATGCACGATTCAACTTTCCGCTTTTGTTCCGTTGTTTGACATAATACTGCTTTGCCTGGCTTCTTTGCAATTTGCTGCGCAGCATGGAATCATGTCATATCATTTATAGACTTTTATTAAGTTTTATACAAATTTATAGCATACTTGCAACCGCACAAGCCGCACATTCGTGCGGAGTTCCGTGCGGGGGGTGCCTGTGCGGAATCGTGCAGGTTTTTTATTTTTATTATTATTTTAATATATTATTTTATCTTTTTTTGGGAGAGGGAACGGGGGGGCGCATGACAGGAAGATGGGGATATGGCGAGGAGAGGGGGATATGGAAAGGAGGACGAGGATGTGGACGATGAGGACGACGAGGATAGCGAGGACGATGAGGAGGAGGAGTCGAGATGGGGGAGGAGAAGAGATGGACGGAGGGAAAAGAGGAAGGGCAGGAGGAGGAGGAGGAGACATGGACGGCGAGGAAGGGGAGGACACGAGGAAGGGAAGGAGACGAGGAGGCATGGAAGATGAGAAAGTGCGAGGAGGAGGAGGAGAAGGAGGATTGAGGAAGGGCAGGAGGAGGATGAACCGGAGGAGGAGGAGGAGGAGGAGACGAAAAGGAGAAGGGAGGAGACATGGAGGATGAGGAAGGGGAGGAGGAGCAAGGTGAGGCAGTACTCCTGTAATTTTTTTTTTCATCTCGCTTACAATTTTGGCGGGGGGGCTCAAATGCACCGTTTCGACCCAGGCCTTTTTTTCTTTTTCTGAGGGGGGTGACGGGTCGTTCTCCGCACACGTCGTGCGTGCGCCGCATGGGATCGGTTTGGCGCGTGCGCCGCACGTAGGGAACCGCCCGCACGACGTGCGCTTGCATGTATGATTTATAGTATTTACTATATTAATATTTAATATTTTATACATGATTCTCCAATCATTTGCGTGTACTTGAACGCAAACTATACAGAACGTAATTCATGTTGTTGTTTCAAGAACTCTGACAGCAGAAAGCCTCTTGAGAGAAGTCTTATTCAAAATTCAAATCCATCGGTATTTGTTTTGTATCTTTTGAATCGTTTGATTCATCCTGCATGAGTTCGTTGTTCATATAATAATTACTTCATAACTTCCTAGTCCATTTCTCCATTTGAAAAAACTTCAAAAAAGTTGTGAAGACACCAAAAAAAAAATCAGTCAGCCTAGCCCACAATTCGATGACCAATAAAAAAAACTGGTTTGTTTTTTGTTAATTGATAATAAAAGCAGGGGGGGGGGGGGGGGGGGGGGGGGGGGGGGCGGGCATGGCATGCCTCAGCTCGTCCAGTTGTGTTGATCTTATGCTTGTCTTTGCTGCTCAGGATGGAACGTGAACGTGAATGACCTTTGCAATGAGAATGGGACGTACTGGAATGAAATGGATAAGGAATGCGCCAAGTGGTTGACGAGAGTTCTCCAATCACAGGAGATGATACTAGAAAGACATGGCTGCAACTTCCCGGTGGAGCAAATTCTGACAAAGTTTGAAGTAAGTGGTAGCATCTCACTCGCCAATTGCCCTAGCGCAGGTGATACAAGGGGAATGAAAATATCATGAAATAAGGAAAATGCGCCAAGTGGGTTTTACCCGACCTTGGTACCAAGGGAATGAACATCATGAAATGCTACCACTTTTTTTTTTTCTTTTTTTTTTCCCGAGGATGATTTGATTTCATGAAATACAGAGCGTTGTTCAAATCCAGATGAACCTAGATGAAGGACATGAAATAATCCCGGGGGAAGAAAAAAGAAAAAAGTGGTAGGCAGTACTAGGCACTGGTAGCATTTCATGATGTTTATTACCTTGGTACCAAGGTTAGGTAAAACCATCAAAGACTGCAACAGGTTACGTATACATTATTCCGGGAGTGATGAGTTAACCCGGCCGGCGTACCCATATGCTGGAAAATTTTGTGTGACTGTCTGACATTTATATATACAGGGTAACCGGCATTCGCGACGGGCCGAACGCCCGAACCCGAACGCCCAAACGTACAGGACCCTGAGGAGATGCGTTCGGCTGTTCGGGCCGAGTTTGGACAAAACAAAAGAAAAAAAAGAAAAATCCAAAAAATCTGAAAAAAAAATGTTATGAAGAAAAATAAAATAAACAAAATTTTCCTGAGCATTACAACGAAATTCCTTACCAACTGTGAAATAAAAAGAGAATACGAAAAATGAATATTGATAATAAAAATAAGGAAAAATCAATTGAGAATTTGAGAATTAAAATTAGTGGGTGTGTGAGCACGTTTTCGACATTGCCATGAGGGGCGATTTTTCTTTTATAATGCGTACTGTATTATGTGAAGTATATATATAGCCTCCTGATGAGTCGGTGAAACTCCGACGAAACAGTTTGTTACAGCCCCTCGTTTGTTGTCCACTTCTCTCTCTCTGCCTACGGTTTACCGGGGAGTTCTGTTTGTGACGATATATATATATATATATATGTTATGATTCTGGTTATCTGTTCTCTAGAGACCAACACCCACTCACATAGACTCCCAAGTATGCCCATACATACATAGAAGGAAGGGGAGAGGATAGGATTACCACACCGCACAGGGAGAGATAAACACATCGGAAGACTTGACCATGCGATATGACAGGGTATATTGAAAGTGCAATTCACTCCACTCAATTCTCACAACCAGTCATAAGGAAAGTCGAGTAGATCACATCCAGAAGAACAATGAAGCAAAGATAGTTCACACCCAGTATCAACACTGTTTATTACACCCAGAGTCTCGAATTGTCAGGATAACCCCAAAACTATGGTGCGCTGCTCATTTCTGAGCAGCGCTTCACTTCCCAACCCTTAGTAACCGCCAACTACACCCCTAAGTCCCTGAAACATCAAGCACCACCCAGATACTGCCTCCAGAGGGAAACGCCACCCTGAAACAGGCCTCTGAGGCCAAGCGCCACTCAGAGGATGAAGAAGAAGACCAGCGCGACAGTGCCTGATGATGATGAAGTGCCAATTGACTTCCCGGGTGGAAGTCTGAAGCCATGTCACCTCCCCTGACAAGATGATCTCTGAAGAAGAAGCTGCAGATATGGCTGCAGCGTCACACACCCTGTAACCCTACTGCGGAGGAGGGTTCAGCAGGGCACCACTTCTCTCGCCTCCAGCAGACCTCGAATAGCCCAGACCTCTGTTCAGCCCCACGTGCTGACAGAGTGCAGTGCAGGTCCCAGCTAAGGCTGGCGCTCCGAAGGTCTGGCTATGTCTGTCTCCTTCAACGCTGAGTCGTTACCACTTCCAGTTCACGTGTTGCGCAGCCGCGATGTACTCGGTACCAACTGCCAAAAGCCCTGACCCGATGTGCCCATCCTGTCTATAGTCTACTCTAGCCTAGATTCGACCTAGACCGGACTGACTGACCAACCGGTACCGTATCAGTTTCTGCCTCTCGGCCTCTACCTTACCTGGCTATAGGCTATAGGACCGCCTATCAGCATAGGCCTGTAGGGCCTGTCTGTCCTAGGGGTAGTCCGGGCCTGCTAATCACAGTTAGGGTAGCTATAGGAAATTCCAATTAGTACGGGCCTATATTTTCCTGAATTTGCAGATATGTCCCTCTAGAATTTTCCTCACAGATGGGTCTCTCGGTTAGCCCTCAACCAAACAAAATTACGAATCTAGCCTACATATGGTAAAGCCTCGACCAGAGAGAGGCTACAGGCAACCAGAAACCAGCAAGTCATTGAAGACCTACCCTCCCCCGGAGCGAGGACCTTCGAGCTAGGGGCATAGACGTGCAGAGCGTCCAAGGGGTTTTCCCTTCTGCGCTGCCTCATATTTGAGGACAACTGACTTTGCAGTTTTCAGAAGTTCCTTGCGAGTAAACCAGGGATCTTCAGTATGTGGTTGGTAGGAGAACTTCACAAGGTACTCCTTATCTAGTCCTATACCTGTCTCATCCTCAATTGATTCCACTTCATACCCCTTGCCAGGGATCGATGGACCGAATTGAGGAGGACTGTTAGGAAATGCATCAGCTGACGTAAATGGCAACAACTTAGATGCATGAAAGACAGGGTAGGTTTGTAGATGCAGAGGGACATCCACTGTATAGGATGGTCCAAAAGGATCAGCGCCCACTGTATATAAGACCTGCCATGGACCCATGTATCGTGGCAACAACTTTGGCGAAATGTTTTCCTCTCACGACAACTCAGAACTGAGTACCCACGCCCAGTCACCTGTGCGAATAGTAGAAGGACGTTTGTGCCGATTAACCTGCTGAATCATAGCCTTTTGGGCTTTAAGCAGGTTGGCACGGGCGCGCTCTATGTCCACACGGTAACGCCTGGTGAACTCTGCAGTCCCGGGTGTCAACGTAGGGGTAGCTTTATCGATGATGTCATCGAGAGGCTGTCGTGGTTCACGACCCCAGTGCAACCAATAGGGTGTAAAGCCAGTAGAGGAGTGTACAAAAGTGTTGTACACAAGTTGTGCACGACCGAGATGGAGATCCCAGTCCTGCTGATCTGGACTGATCACAGGACGCAGCAACTGAAATAAAATTTGGTTCATCACTTCAGCCTGACCCTTGGCTTCGGGATGACGACCATGTCATGTCCAGTCTAGAATGAAGGTAATCCCTGCAGTTGGATTGCCATTCATTGCTGCAGAATCTAGGATCTCGGTCACTGACAATGGAGATGGGTGGTCCATGATGTGTAACCCACCTGTCAGCAAAAGCTGCCTAGACAGCAGGCACACGTGCTTCAGCTGGTAAGGGGATGAACTCTGCGTATTTGGAAAACCGATTCACGTATACCATGACCTGACGCATACCACGAGGTGTGGTCCTACCCAGATCAGTAAAGTCAATAGACACTGACTGTGCAGGAGCATCAGGGATGGGTAGTGGTTTGAGTAGGCCTAGGGGAGGTCGGGGTACCACCTTATTCCTTTGGCATAACTCACAGGTTTCCACATAATGCAGCATGTCGCTTCTCATCTCCTTCCAGAAGAAGTGATGCGACAGGGCTGCATACGATTTGAGGGACACTCTGACATCAGAAGTGTCCTCAACTTGCGGTCTTGGGGAATGCATAGGCGTTCCTCACCTCTGTTGCATGTGTACAACAGATCTGAAACCAGAGTATATTCGGGTTCAGAGGCAGGATAATCCTGAAGATTCTTCACTATTGGCCCAAAAATCGCATCCTGGGGCAGCAGACAAGCAATGGTCAGACAAGCTTCTCTCCAAAAGAGTGAGTAAAGGAGATCAGAAAGAGAGTGTCAGGCCTACGAGAAAGGGCATTTGCTACTCGATTGTAGCAGCCCTTCTTGTGCATCAGTTCAAAGTCAAACATGTCAATGAACTGAATGTAGCGAGCAAGCTTGTCATTCAATTCTCCCTGGGACTTCATCCACTGAAGAGTGGAGTGATCTGAAAAGATCTTCAAGTATATACAAGAGCATACAGCTCTTTCTCGTAGGTAGAGTCCTTCAGCTTCTTTGTTTTGATCTTTTTGCTCATGTACTCGACAGGTTGCAGACCATTCCCATCATCCTGTTGAAGTACCGCCCCTACACCATACTGACTAGCATCAGTGGTAAGCACAAAGGCAAAGTAGGATCAGGTAGCTTCAAAACAGGGGCACGAATCAAGGCCTCCTTGAGACGTGTGAAAGCCTCCTGATACTCTGATGTCCAAAGAAAGGAAGTGTCTTTCTTTGTGAGATCAGTCGGGGGTGCTGCAATGGAGGATAAGTTCTTGATGGGCTTTCTGTAATAGGATGCAAGATCCTAGAAAGACCGGACATCACGAATGTTCACAGGCTTCGGCCAGTCCTGAACAACAACAACTTTCGCCAACCCCTCTCCAGAAATGACATGTCCCAGATAGATCACATAGGGAACTCCGAAAGAGGGCTTCTTCCTGTTAATCTTATGATGGTTATCACGTAAGGCCTGGAGGACCAGAGCCAGATGTTGCGCATGCTCCTGGACCGAGCGACTGAATACTAGGATGTCGTCCAAGTAGACAACTACGAACCTGTTCAGATAAGGCCTGAGTATGCGATGCATCTCTTTCTGGAAGGTGCCTGGGGCATTGCAAAGACCAAATGGCATGACCAAGTACTCATAAGTGCCATACCTGGTCTTGAAGGCTGTCTTGTGGACATCGCCTTCAGCCATCTCAATCTTGTGATAACCAAATTTGAGATCGATCTTGCTAAAAATGGTACAACCCTGCACCATATCCAACAAATCATCAATGCGAGGAAGAGGCTTTGTAGACTTCCTCGTGATTTTGTTGGGACCTCTATAGTCGACACACATCTTGAACTCGCCATTCCCCTTTGGAACAAAGAGGGCTGGTGCCCCAAACTTGGATGTGTTGGGCCGGATCCAGCCTTTGTTGGTCAAGGTCTCCAACTGTTTCCTGAGCTCCTCGAGTTCAGCAGGTGACATCATGTAGACTCGGCCCTTGGGAGGGACCGAACCAGGCAGGATCTCAATCTTACATTTGGTCTTCCTATGGACAAGTCTAGTAGGCTCCTCCATAAGATATGAGAAACGGTCAACAACCTACTGAATCTGAGAGGGACAGGGAGCAGTCTCCACATCAGTCTGTTTGACAAAAGCCACGAACAGACGAG